ACTTGTTTCAGCCACGGTCATCTTCATGCTAGGCTACATCTTCTACCTCAGTGGTTCCCAACCTTTTTAGACTTGTTCACCCCAAGCCATTTTGCAATACCACTAGTACCCCTTCAGTCAAACGTAAGGATGATTCTCCAAAACTATAATGTACAACAACTGCTTATCAAATGAAAATTTTTTATTTAACCCCACAGAACATTTAATTCTCAGGCATTTTATTCTTTTCAAAGAAAGATTAAAGATAAAGATAAAAATGTTGCCTTGAAAGTGAATAAGTAATTAAATAAGTAAGCCAGGTAATGGCAGGTGCAGAAAACAGCAACGTCCAAAATACATCAGAAACTCACCCAAAAGAGCAAATTCTGTGAGATTCTTGCTTTTTATACTGGATTCCATTTTGTATCAAATCCATGATTTCCGCATTGCTATTTTTACTTTTTTTTTGAGCGCCTGGGAAATTTTTCCACGTACCCCCATAATAAGCCCGTGTAACCCAAGGGGTACTTGTACCCCTGTTTGGGAACCACTGTGCTACAGTTTGTCCTGCTGGATGTGATGTGATTTGTGTCACACAGGTGTGATGGAGTGAGTTCAGTCCAATAGGATGTCAGGAAGGTTTATATTTACGCTTCTCATCAACCACAATCAAATTCACTCTATCCATGGGCTCCATGTGTCTGGATAGATTTCTATTTATTAATTTTTTTTCTGAACAATGAAAAGATGGAATAAAAACAAGTCAAAGTTAAATAGAAATGAAATACTTTTTGCATTTTTAAAAAGTAAGGAGTAGAAAGTACAGATAATTGAATCAAAATGTAAGAAGTAGAAGAAAAAAGTAGGCTGAAAAATAATTACTCCACTAAAGTATAAATAACCAAAATTACTACTTAAATAAAGTATTTGTACTTCGTTACTTGACACCTCTGGTTATGTCTGATGATCCCATGAAAGGTCTGATGGAGAGCAAATCACAATTTATTTTTTAGATTATTGATCATTAAAATAGTAAATAGTTTAATCTAAAAAGAATCTGTTAAAATGTTTGAGCTGAAATCTAAAATAAACTTGTTTTATTACAGATTGGCATTTTATTCAATCTGTTATAATTTGGATCAACTTTTCTTACATTTAATCTGGATCTGATTCAGATTAAATTATATATTTTTTAATTCCCTAATTTACAGTTTAAATATGTTAAATAACACATTTTGTTTATATTAACATGTTAATATAATGAAGTTTTAAATGAAAAGATGTAGTTGGGAAAACAAAATCTTGATTTTGTGTTGCTGTGAATTTTTTAAATAAATAAAGTAATTTTTAAATAAAATGTACTGTTGTGTTGTAATAGCTTCTCTTAAAAATCTGGTAATATTTTTCAAATAACAGAATAAAGTGAATTTCCTGATGCATCTCAGTAATCGAGACGAAACGTTTCACTAAAGAAAAACCCATCCAGAGGACCAATTTTATTTTCTTTTTGAGAATGAAGTGAAGAAACTGGTTTATAAAACCTGAAGAACCTGATGAAACCCAGTTTTCCTGTTTCTCATTTAAAAAGGTGAAACCACAACATGTGCTAAACTTGCATTTATTTATATTCATCTTAAAAAATTAAACTCTGGCTTTTGCTTCAACGCACTTTTTAAATATTTTCCCGTCAGTCAGCTCGTGTTTCGTACAAAGAAAAGATTCACAGAACAAAAACTGAAAAAAAAAAACCTGTTTCATCATTCAAAAGAGAAAATTCCTTTTTTTTGTTTGCAGCATTAAATGTTTAGACTTTTTTAAAAGATTGTCATCAGATCAGACGAGTCATTTAAAAAGGCAGAAATTAACAGAATTAATTTAAGCTTCTGAGATAAAAACCTTTAAAGAAGACTTGCTGTGTTTTGCTGTTCCTGTGTGGAACGTTGGTGTTTGAACACAAACAAATGTAACAAGTGCTCCAGCTTCAGACGCCTGTATATTCCACTGGTTTGGAGTTGGCACAACAATATTTACCTGCCGTGCTCTCTCCACTTCCCTCAGCAGTTCAGCACATTTCACACACAACCTGGAACTGGAGCATTTCAGGAAAAAAAAAGTTATTCCTGCTTAAAAACATCCAAACTTGTTATTTTACATGAAAACCTTTGACAGGGTTTCCTGTAGGTTTTGTATATAAGGTGCTGCAGCCTTACAGTATTTCAAACTCATTTCAGACAAAAGTAGCGTGCAAAACTTAAATAAAGTTTTATTATTCTGGCTCCTTCAATTTGAGGATAAATATCAGGAAAAGAACAGAGGTTTTAATGGAAAATGTCCTGATGCATCTCAGTAATGCAGGTAAAAAATCAAAAAGAAAAAAGTTGTATAGGTCTTCTGGACGGGTTCTTCTCTAATGAAACGTTTCGTCTCTCCTCCAAGAGACTTCTTCAGTCTGAGAGTTTCAGGCAAAATTCAGGCTTTCTCCATGTGACTGATACTCACATCACATGGCTATCGTTGACACCTAATTAACACCTATTGTTAACAGGGGGTGGAGTGATACTGGCAATAGCAGCACTGTAGGAGGGGGACAACTGAAAACGGAGGCCTCCACCTCTGTTTAATGATGGACGGTCTTTCTTCACAAAATGGCTTCTTTTACTCCTCTCTCAAACCAACGTTCCTCTCTATCAAGAATGAGAACATCCTCATCTCTGAAAGAGTGACCGCTGGCCTGTAAATGAGTGAAAACTGCAGAGTTCTGGCCATTAGATGTAGCTCGTCTGTGTTGGGACATGCTTTTGAACAGTGGCTGCTTTGTTTCCCCGATGTATAACTGGTCGCAGTCCTCCTGGCACTTAACAGCATATACAACATTGCATCTAATGGCCAGAACTCTGCAGTTTTCACTCATTTACAGGCCAGCGGTCACTCTTTCAGAGATGAGGATGTTCTCATTCTTGATAGAGAGGAACGTTAGAGGAGTAAAAGAAGCCATTTTTGTGAAGAAAGACTGTCCATCATTAAACAGAGGTGGAGACCTCCGTTTTCAGTTCTCCCCCTCCTACAGCGCTGCTATTGTCAGTATCACTCCACCCCCTGTTAATGATAAGTATTAATTAGGTGTCAACGATAGCCATGTGATGTGAGTATCAGTCACATGGAGGCAGGGCTTAAAAGCCTGAATTTTGCCTGAAACTCTCAGACTGAAGAAGTCTCTTGGAGGAGAGACGAAACGTTTCATTAGAGAAGAACCCGTCCAGAAGACCTACACAATTCTTTTTAATGGAAAACATTTTGACTTGATTTAAAATGTTAACATTAGAAGATGAGAGAACATAAACCACATTAGATTATTAAAACAAACTGATTGTTTTGAAGCTTGTAGCTGCCCGAAGCATTTTTTGTTGCAAAGATTTCAGCAGTCCATGAGAGGAAGAGGAGTTTTTTTTTGTTGTTGTTGTTTTAAATGAGCCAGGACCTGTGAGTGTCACAGTTTGCACCGGAGCTCTGCTCAGTTTTTGGGTTTAGAATGTCCTGGATGGTGATGGGCAAACGTTGGGTTTTGTCCCTGTGAGGAGCGTGGAGCAGGTCCACCACTGTGCAGCCGGGCTTGGGACGCCTGCGTCTTGGTGCCCGTTTCTCTGCACGGCTTTTTGGTGGAGAGAGGCCGTGGCAGACGCGAGAGCAGGGTGCGGTGATGCCGCAGAAGGAGGGCTCGTCAGAGTGAGAGGATGCTTCTGAGCTGCCCTCTGATGGCGAGTCTCTGAAGGCGGGCAGGAGGAGCTGTTTTGCTGCGAAGGGTGCAGCGGGACGTCCGGCAGATCCGTTGCACAGCTTGGGAGCAGCTTGGAGCGAAGGTTTCAGCGTCTCGACTTTATCCAGAGCTTTCATTTTACGACGTCTCCGCTGTGAGGCAAGGTTTGTGGAACAGAAGAGTGAGAGACAAACAGGAGACGTGTTTAATGAGATAAAGCACATCCTCGTTCAGGTAACGGGTTTTATGAATCTGAAGAAATCTGGGGTCTCGTGTGTCAAAGGTTTTGTACCAGGTTTTACACAAACACATCAGCAGATTAAATCAGAACAAGTCAGCTGAGATCAATGAGGTGTGGACACCATAACTGGTTTATTATCTGATCCACAGCTGAAGGTTGGATCAAACTGGACGATGATGCAACAGGACAACGATCCCAATTTTTAAACTATTGTTTGGGGCAGGTGTCCACATTGGTGGGCCCGATGGATAGCCCTTCATCAGAGCTAAACAACAAAAAATCTGAAGCTCCTATATTTAACAGTTTTTGAGTTATAAGCATTTTTGTATGTCCAGACACCCCCTCTTTAGATGGAGCCCCCTCCTCAAATATGAGGTCCATCATAAAAGCATTTGCTGGTGCAGTGTAGGTCATTTAGACATAAAAACAATTATAAGTTGCCTAAAATGTTATAGTGTGACAGGACCTTAAGGGGTTTAAGCTGCACAGTCCTGTCATAAAACTTTTTCAGATAAATGGAATATAAGTGTGGGGAAGCCAAATAAATGTAATATTGGCCTGCCATACCTTGAGCTTCTGCCTGCTGAACTTATCAGCTGCTGCTCTGCTGCGCTCAGAGCAGAAGCATGTTACTTTAACAAGATGGATTTATGACTGAATGAACATCCCCAACTTTTTTTTTAAATCATCTCTGTTGGTAACAATACATAAAAACAAGTTTTTTTCTCCGACAATTTGGGTTTGAAAAAACTACGGTTGTTAAAGCTTCGCTCTGTGTGACATGCAGCGGGAGGGAGGAAATAATCCTGTGACACAACGTAACTTTTCTACAGCAGGAGGGGGAAATTTTGAGGATTTATTTTCTCTCTGTGTGTTTTAAAACTATATTTCTTCATTTATTTTCAGAATATTTGGAACTCCTCCAGTTGTCTCTGCACTCACAGCCCTGTTGACACAGGTGTGATGATGTAACCGACGACAGGACGGTAAAGGGTCAATTTCTACCGTAGACCAACTTCATATCATTTCTACCATCTATCTAGGGCTGCAACAACAAATCGATAAAATCGATTTTTAAAAGCGTTCGCAACAAATTTCATTATCGATTCGTTGTGTCGAGCGATTTATGCGTGCCTCGCCGTGTCGCAGAGCAATTTAAATCACCCCCAGAGTGATGTCAATGCAGAAAAAATAACAACCTGTAAAGATCTACCCTCTCTGACTCTTGAGTGAAAAGCAGAGACTTCGAACTTTAAACCAGCTTTTAAATTGTGTTGTTAGGCCAAGTAGATCTGAAGATGTGATAAAAAAGTATTGCCACTTTTTTTTTTTAAAGACGGTCTGATTTGATGCGAGCTGAGACGCGAGGAGGAAAACGTGTGCGGGGGGAGCACCTAAATCCACCGTTTGTTTCCTCCTCCTCTCGGGCCAAAAGTATAAAAACTCTCCAGTTTTTTCTGACAGAGGCTCAAAGTTATTTGTTGAGCAGAAAAAAGGTTCA